CAGACCATCATTGTCTAGGGGGGCATTGTAACAGTCGGCCACTCACCACTAATTCTTGAAGGGGGGGAACGGGAGTATTTACACAGCCAGCCAATGACCTCCAATGGTGGGGCATCTGAGGGTTCTGCTGTGACTGATGATATTGCTGGGAATACAATAGGCGCACAGAAAGTAATAAAAGCCAGACAGAGATTTTGACCCTTCCTCCTCCTATTCAGAACTCCTATTCAGAACTGAAAAGTGTATTAGGGAGGAGTTACATTTTAATTCATCCTTATGCTCTTGGAATGCGATCGCAGGTTGTTCTGATATGAACCCTGTACGAGGTGTTTACATAATCCTCTAATCTGTTTCATGTTCTAACATGACCGGGAAGTCCGGACGCATCACCAAGCACTGTGCGCGACTTATGAACCATTTCATATGGAAGACAAGTACTTAAAAATCGACATCTTTGTCTGAGCAGAGAGACCTAGAGATGGAAGGAGAGGCGGCTCACTGACAGAGCAGTGCTGATGTCCCCTCGGCCCACTTCAATCCCAGCCCGCCATTCACCATCAGTCATGATGGAATCCAGAATTGTGCAATTGGCTACATTTTGTTTCGGCTGAAAATCTGCCGTCGGTTATGTATCCTCCATCAGCCAGAAATCGCAAACTGTATTATGTTAATCGCATCGGACAAATCTGACTGTGTATACATCAGCCATAACATTATGACCACTGAGAGGTAGGCAAGCCGACGGAGGCAGTGTGAGGCTTTGGCAATGTTCTGCTGGGAAACCTCGGGTCCTGCCATTTATGTGGATGTTACTTTGACACGTACCACCGACCTAAACATTGTTACTGACCAAGTCCACCACTTCATGGAAACGGTATTCCCTGATGGCAGTGACCTCTTTCAGCAGGTTAATGAGCCCGGCCACACTGCAAAAATGGATCAAGAATGGTTTGAGGTGCTCAACAACGAGTTTGAGGTGATGACTTGGCCTACAAAGCCTCCAGATCTCAATCCAATCGATCATCTGTGGGATGTGCTGGAAAAACAAGTCCGATCCATATAGAGGTCGATCACCTCACAACTTACAGGACTCGACTGGTCTGGAAAAGGGGGACCTACTCAATATTAGGCGGGTGGTCATAATGTTATGGCTGATGAGTGTTTTATACGCAGTACACAGTTGGATTTAGGGGAAAAGAAGCAACTCAGCAATTTGCAGATTGAATTGGATGTTTGTACTTTGACTGTTTAATTTTGCTAAAAATGAACCTTTAATTACACCCGGTGACAGCCCAGCTGAGCTTAACACAGGCCCGGATTTCCCACAAGGCCACCGAGGCCCGGCCTCGGGGCGGCAGGGCGCAGAGGGGCGGCAGCGGTGTGGAGTCCCCCCGACGTTCCGGGCGCCGGGCGGGTAAGTTGCCTTGTGGGGAATCCGCTCGTACATTTACAGGTGAGCGCGGCGATGTCGCTGCAATCACTTGTAAAATCTGTGCAGCCTGTTCGTCCTCCCCCCCTCACTTACCTCTCTCCTCTGGTTCCGGCCGCCGAGTCTCTCCTCCCTTGCCGTCGATGTGGGGAGCAGAGCGGCAGGGTTAGAAGTAACCATGCCTCTCCGTGTAGACTGTAGACAGTGAGAGGGGAGAGCAGTGCTCTTCCCGTCTCACCTGTCACAGGAGTTCCAGCACAGTGCTGTGCTAGAACTCCTGTATTGGAGGTGACATGGTCAAAAAAGAGAACCTAGCAAAACAAACGACAAACGCACTCATCAATTTGTTACCAGTTATACAGTAAAAAAAAAAAAAGAGAACCTGTCACCTGCAAATGCTATCACACAGGGTCTTATTAGCTAGCTCCTGTGTGATAGCAATAAAGTTAAGTGAAAAAAAAAATAAGAAGAAATAATAAT